CATTTCTTTTAGGTTTTCAAATTTAGTAGCATATAGGTTTTTAAAGTATTCCCTTATAATGTTCTGTATCTTTCTGGTGTCTGTTGTGATGTTTCCCCTTTCATATCTGCTTTTGTTGATTTGGTGGTGCTCTTTCTTTCTTTTGGTTAACTGGGCTAGCGGTCTGTCAATCTTGTTTATCTTTTCAAAGAATCAGCTCTTGGATTTGTTGATTCTTTGTGTTGTTTTCTTTTTCGATTTCATTAATTTCTGCCCTGGTTTTTGTTATTTCTTCTTGTCTGCTGTGTTTGGTTTCATTTGTTGTTGCTTTTCAGATGTCTTGAGTTGCAATGTTAAGTCATTTATTTGTGTTCTTTCTGATTTTTTGATGTAGGCACTTAGAGCTATAAAATTCCCTCTAAGGACTGCTTTCAGCGTGTCCCAGAGGTTTTGTTGTGTTGTATTGTCCTTTTCATTTAGTTCCAGGAATACTTTTATTTCTTCATTTCTCTTTTGACCCATTCTTCATTTAAGAGTCTGTTGTTTAATCTCCGTGTTTTCACGTGGTGATCTGGGCTTCTTCTGGTGTTGATTGTAAGCTTTATTGCATTGCGGTCTGATGGAATGCATGGAATATTTCAAACTTTTGGTATTTGTTGAGGTTTGTTTTGTGCCCCAGTGTATGGTTGATTTTGGAGAAGGTTCCTTGGGGTGCTGAGTAGAAAGTATGTCCTTTGGTGCTTGGGTGGAATACTCGGTAGATGTCTGTTAAGTCCATTTGATATATGGTATTGTTTAATTCAGATGACTCTCTGTTAACTCTCTGCCCTGTTGACCTATCTAATGGAGACAATGGGGTATTGAAGTCCCGTACTATTAATGATTTGGGATTAATCTGGGTTTTAAATTCCTATAGTATTGTTTTTATGAAGTTGCGTGCACCAGAGTTTGGTGAATATATGTTCATGATTGTAATATCTTCTTGATTCATTGTTCCTTTGATCAGAATGAAGTGGCCCTGTTTATCTCTTCTGATTAGTTTTAGTTTAAAGTCTATTTTGTCACGTATTAGTATTGTAATGCCTGCTTTTTTCTTAGTACAATTTGCTTGGTATATTTTTTCTATCCTTTCACTTTAAGATAGTATCTGTCCTTGAAAGTGAGATGAGTTTTTTGCAGACAACAAAAAGATGGGTTTTATTTCTTAATCCATTCAGTCTGTGTCTTTTACCTGGGGAGTTCAGTGATTTAATGCTTGAGGTTATTAATGAAAGATGAGTATTGAATCCTGTCCTTTTTATTTCTGTTTAGAGTCTTGATATAGCTGTACTTTTCCACAGTTATACGTTCATTGAATTTCTTTCTGCAATCCCTTGGGTATAGTCATTCCTTTCTTTAGCTCTTTTTATTACTTCTAGAACTCTCTGAAGGCCTGCTTTGTGGACATGAATTTTTTTCAGCCCATTTGTGTCATGGAAGATTTTTCTTTCCCCTTCGACTATAGTAGATGTTTTGGCTGGGTATAGTAATCTGGGTTGGCATCTGTGGTCGTTTAAAACTGGGAATACTTTGGCCCAGGCTGTTCTCGCTTTTCGTAGTGAAAAGTCAGATGTAATCCTAGTGGGTTTTCCTTTATATGTGACTTGTTGTTTCTCTTTTGCAGCTTTCAGAATTTTCTCTTTGTTTTGTGCATGTAGTGTTTTTACTACGATGTGCCGTGGAGAGTTTCTGTTCTGGTCCTGTCTGTTGTTTGGTATTCTATTTGCTTCTTGCATCTGTATGGATATGTCTTTCTTTAATTTTGGGAAGTTTTCTTCCATGATTCTGTTGAACATCTGATCCATGCCACTATCTTGGGATTCTTCTCTTTCCTATATGCCTTTATCCATAAGTTTGGTCTTTTTATGGTGTTACACAATTCCTGCATTATTCCATTCTGTGATTTCTTAAATTTTTCATAATCTTTGCTTGAATGGTCTAGTTCGTCCACTTTATCTTCCAGTCTTGATACTCTGTTTTCCATTTCATTTATCCTATTGGTGAGGGTCTCTCCTGTCATTTCTAATTGGCTTACTGAGTGTTTCACTTGCTTCTTCATTTCAGCCTAAGTAATTTTCAGTATTTCTAACTCTTTTCTGAACTCGTTCAGAAGTTTATCCCTATCTTCCTCCAGTTCTTTGATTTCTTTGTTTGTGTGTTCTTCAATTTCACTGAATTCTTTTATCCTGTTTATAATTGTTCTTTTGACTTCCATGTCCTGATTATCTTTAGGGGGTTCTCATTGTATTCCTCTAGGGGACGATTGGTATTTGGTGGCGATATGTTATTTGTTTTTCATGTTACTATATTTTCTCTGTGATTTTGACATGTGAATTTCTTTTGTAGTTTCTGATTCTTGTGTGAGACTCAGGCCTTCAAGTTTATGTCTGCTTCTTTTTGTAAACTTTATGTGTCTTTGTGGTTTACTTTTTGGGCATGAAAAGCTGGTTCCTCTTTGCTTCTTCTGGTTCTCTCTTTTGATTTTTATGTTGGAGTGGCCAGATTGCTTTTGTCTTCAGGAGTTCCCACAGAGGCCCAAATCAGATGAGGATCAGATGCTCTCAGGTTTTCTCCTAAGGTCTGGATCCCTGCAGGAAAGATTTTGGCCTCAGGAATTTGGGGGTTGGACTCGCTTGGGACCCGGCCCAGGAAAGATGCTGTTCTAGGGCAGGTGGTGGACATGCCATGTAGAGATGCAAAGGAAGATGGGGGCAGGAAGCGGTGCCAAGGGCTCCTGGGAACTGCACTGAGGAGCTGGGTTGGTCTGGATGCAAAGGATCAGAAAGAGGAAAGGTTAGCCCTGTTGTCCAGGAAAGAGCCTGGCCGGTCCTGTAGGCCCAGGGAAGTAGAGGGAGGTGAGGGCGGGACCAGGCCCAGAGTGCTTCTGGGAACAGGAGATGGAACTGGGTTGGTGTGGATGCAAAGGATCAGGAAGCAGTGGTGGTTCCCCCTGGTGCGCCAAGACAAGGAATGGGACAGGACCCAGGCTAGGAGGAGTGATGGGCAGGGGAGATGGGAGAGTGAATGAGTGACTTATCCTAGAGAGAGGCCTGTGGGTAATGCAGGCCCAGGGCTGTTTTGCTTTTTAAACCATGATTAGTTGTAAAAGTTTACCAAATATGGACTGGAGATATACCTCAGTGGTGGTGTGCTTGCATAACAGGATAAGGCCTAGGTTTAGTTACTATCACTGCCCACTGCCTCAAACCTCCAAAACCCATTTGCTAAATGCTTAGTATACATCCTTTGAGATCATACGATTTTTTTTTTTACTTTATTAGTGTGATAAATTATATTGATTTATTTTGTGATATCAAACTGTATATGTTGTCCTTGAATAAGCCTCATTGGAAGAGATGCATTATCATAGACATTGCTGAGTTTGAGTTTGGTTTGCAAAATTTTACCTCTTTTTCTTTTTTGAGAAAGGGGCTTTCCTTGTAGCTCAAGCTGACCTTGAACTTCATTAGTCCTGACTGGCTTTGAGCTTGTGGCAGTCTTCCTGCCCTAGCATCCTGAGGGCTGGGATTTCAGGCATGTGTCACCATACCAGCTTTCCTGTTTTAAATTGGGCTCATTATCTACCTCCTCTGCCAGTTTGTCAGGTCAGTTCTGATGTTGAAACGTCTTCCTTATCATTTTCAGCAAGTTTAAAAACAACACATGGGGACTAGAGAGATGGCTCAGCAGTTAAGAGCAGATACTTTTTTTTGGACTTTTTGAGATAGGGTCTCCCTATAGCCCCAGCTGGCCTGGAACTCACTATGTAGACCAGGTTGGCCTCAACTTCACAGAGATCCACTTGCCTCTGCCTCCCAAGTGCTGGGATTAAAGGTATGTACCACCACGCCCAGCCAGGCACTGCTTTTATAGAGGACCTGGATTCTGTTCGAGCCCCCATATCAGGTAGCTCACAACTGTCAGTAACTCAAGTCCCAAGGGATATGATACCCTGTGGCTTCCACAGGCACCTGCACACATGAGGTGCAAATAAAAATCTACTCAGGCACACATACATATACATAAGTTAAAAAACTTGGAAAAAACCAACACATTATGCCCCTTAATGAGCCATTTTGTATACTCTCATAGAAAGCAGGGGTTATAAAGCCCACAGCATCATTTCCCCATTTTCCTCTAGTAGATAGAATTTCTTTGGGTTAGATGTCAGCCAGCTCATGGGTGCATTATAGGCAGGCTGGGGGGTGCTGTCTGTATAGTTGATCTTAGAACCCTTCCATATCTGCCCATGGAGCGATATCTACTTTTACAGCCACGAGACCTGCAGAAAAAGAGATGACCACATCAATTATTTGTGATGCAGATCCATCTGTTTGACGTTGATGTTCCTGGGAAAATTACATTTCAAGAATCTAAAACATTGAGTCCTGGTGATAATTTTTCCACATTTGATACTCGTACGTACCAGATAAATTTGCCTCTTATAGTAATCCCCCAAAAGAACAGATATTATCTTTCCCCTTTGGTCACATAATCTGTGTAAGTTCAGAATTGAGGAATGTATCCAAGCCAGAAATCTAGAAAGCTTGGGCCAAATGGAAACTCAGGGTTTTGACATGATTTTGCTCTTGCATTTGGTCACAGGCTCCTCTGATAGCATCCAGAGTGTTCTGTTCGGCCATGATTGACATATTCTATGTAGATTACAGGCATTCAGTCAGAATGAATTTCTTATAGTTGTTCTGAGCTTGTGAATAATGTCTGAGATGAAGTCCCAATAGGTCTGAAGTTGAAGTTGATTATCCAGGGTCTTGTGCTAACTTATCCCTGTCAGTGTTTCATGGTCAAGAGAGGCTTTACCCTTCTACCTCATGCTATAGAAGGCTAACTTCTCCTTTGTTCATTTTCTGTTTGGAAACAGCTTACTGCAGAGTAGGCCTGGGGATCTGCTACGACATACGCTTTGCAGAACTTGCACAAATCTACGCACAGAGAGGTGAGGCCATGCCACAGTTGGGTTAGGCAGCTGCTTAGAGGTTTGGTTCTAGGATGGTCTCTGTGGAATATAGGGAGCTCTTAGCACAAACTTGCTTAAAATGCACAAAACTTTACACAGATGCACAAAAAAGTTGGGGGTGGGGTAAAGGCTTAATCTTCCCATATCCATCCCATCGTGTTCATCAGACTTTCTGCTCTGTAGGGTGTTACAGTTTTTTGAGGGGGCGTTGTTGTTGTTGGGTTTTTTTGTTGGTCTTTTTGAGACAGGGTTCCCTATATCCCCAGTTGGAATCCACTATGTAGACCAGGCTGGCCTCAAACTCACAGAGATACACTTGATTCTGCCACCTGCATGCTGGGACTAAAGTTGTCCACCACCATGCCTAGCTCCTGAGAGAAATTTTAATGAGTTCTCCACTTTTTTTAAGTGAAGGCACAAGTTCTGGTATCAGTCCTTCATCTCATTTTTCTTGTGACTCTACTTTACATGAATCCCTATCATAATTCAGAGTCATAGCTAATGCTGCTGGCTCTGTCTGACTAAGCTAACTTTTTATGCCTGGAAAAGTTTGCATTTGCCCCTGTTGGGGAAGGAATAAGGGAGGGACCATTGTCACCGAGTGCTAACGTTTGTACTTGCCTTTCACTCTCCAAGGCTGTCAACTACTGGTGTATCCTGGTGCTTTCAATCTGACCACTGGACCAGCGCACTGGGAGTTGCTTCAGCGAGGCCGGTAAGGAAGAAATCAAGCATCTCAGTGTTGCCTCTTTGTGGAAGGTTTAGCCTCAAATGGAATTTTGTCCCTGATACAGCCTGCCCTGGCATCCAAATGCAGTTGGAAAGGATGACTCTTCAGGGAGTCTTTGCTGGGCACTGTCTCAGAAGCCACAGCAGCAACCTCAGTGATTTGGAGGATGTTTGCTTTTGCCTTTTCAGGACGGTCAGTGTATCAGTTTGGGCGGTAGTTTCATTGTTCTTTGATTAGACATCATGGATTAGTCTCTTAAGACAGTCACCACCAACTTTTATAAAGGAATTGAGTCCTCACAGCTTATGTATTCAGAGCTTCGGAAGCTGAAGAAAAGCCAAGTGTTCTAGTCTGACAGCCCTGGAGAGGTCTGTGGTCTTCACACAGCAGGTTGTGCCATGCATTAGGTGCTTTTGCCCCGTCCTGCACACATTCCGAACAGTGCTGGGAGTACTCTGCCAAGAAACAGAGAAACAGTGGCCATTTTCTGTAGGAAGATTTTTGGCATATTGCAGTGTGGAAGGTGAATGTGATGCTGTGATTATTAGTAAATTTCATCAAAAGCAAGAAGAGCTTCAGAGACACTGGGATGACCTGGTGTGGGTCTGTTAAGTCCGGAGAGCTAGGAGAGGTGGTTCTTCTATCTGGGCTAGAAACCCCAGGCACTGTCCAAGATGTGAGATCACTTCATTCCCTAGCCACTTTTAAGTGTTTAATTAAAAAAAAATTAATTTAGTGTGTAAACATGTGCATGCCATGACACACATATGGAGCTCAGAGGACAACTTTCAGGAGTCATTTCTCTCCTTACACCATGTGTATTCTGAGGTTCAAATTCAGGTCTTCAAGCTTGTTGACAGGTATCTACCTATACCCACTGAGCCATCTTTCTGGCTTGACTTGTTTTAAACCTGGAAGCTTTGCTTTTCTGTTACAGGTTGGTTTGTGCCGGGACTTCCGGTCATACTACTGGGTCTTTAGGGAAGACAGAGTAGTAGGGGTACCTACACTCACATGTACATACACTCATATTTTGCACACGATAATTTGTTATAGAGGGCTGTCCCATGATTTGTAGGGCACTTAGCAGCATCCTTGGCCCCCACTTAGTATGTGTTAGTAGTACCTCCCTAATCGTGAAAATCAAAAAAAAAAAATTCTCTAGACACATCTAGACACAACCCTAGGCACATCTAATAGGCAAAGCTTCACCTAATTGCAAACACTGAAGTAAGGCTCTTGGGTTTTTGTTGTTGTTGTTTCAAGATGGTCTCACTTTGCCAAAGCTGGTTTTGAACCAGTGGGTTCAAATAATCCTCACACCTCAACCAACCACTTGAGTAACTGTGACTATGGCATTCTTGAATAAATATTTTTTGAAGAGGGTTTCATGGCTTTCTCTCCCAAAGCTAATAAATCCTATTTGCATTACCCTTTTTTTTACCTTCAGAAAAATCATTTGCATTTCTACAGGTGCAGCACAGCAGGAGTGTGACTGCCACTGAGCATGGACAGACTTCCTTCAGTAGTCCCTAAAGACCCAGTAGAATGTGTGTAGCATTAATGTGGTATCAGGTATTATACACAATCTAAAGATCATTTAAATTACACAGAAGGATATGCATGAATTACATACAAATGCTGTATCATTTAAAACATCTTTAAAGTGTTTTTTTAGCTGACAGATAAAAACATAAAATGGGAAGGCTAGGAATGGTGGCACACACCTGTAGTCCTAGCACTCGGCAGGTCAAGGCAGGAGGATTGTGAGTTAGAGGCCAACCTGGACTACATAGTGAATTTGAAAGGTCAGCCCTGGTTTATATAGCAAGATCCTGTCTCAAAAGAACAAGAATCATAAAAATTGTAACACATTGAGCAGCATTCACATGAGCTTAGCCATAGCTGCTCCTGCCAGGCACAGTGGCATGCCTGAGTTCCACTGAGATGGAGGCAAGAACATTGCTTGAACCTGGAGAGGAAAGCCAACCTGTGCAGCATAGTGAGACCCCATCTCAAAGCAATGATCAAAAAGATCATGTTTCCTTTATCATATATTTATGATAACTTTCAAAATCCTTTCTACTATTTCAAGTGAACAGAATGCTATTATTAGTTGTAGTCATGGGACTGGAGAAATGGCTCAGCCATTAAGATACATAGCACTCTTCCAGATGACTTGATTTTGGTTCCCCTTCCCATCATGGGTAGCTCACAACTGCCTGTAGCTCTAGCTCTAGGAGATCCAGCCTCTGGCATTTGGGTACCTGTACTCACATGTGCACACACACACAACATAATTGTAGTTGTCTCCTGTCTAATAGCACTTCTAGACTTCTTGCTCCCAGCTGTAACCTGTACTGTCTGCCGGACTCCCCTGTCCTTTCCACCTTCAGCTCCCCTAGCTCTCCTTGTCTTCTGCTCACCACATTCTAGTCTCAACTTCCACGAGATCAATTTTTTTTTTTTTTTCTGAGATAGGGTCTCACAATGTAACCCTTGTTGGCTTAGAACTTGCTTTGTAGACCTGGCTGGCCTCACATTCACAGAGATCACCTGTCTTTGCCTCCTGAATGCTGGGATCAGAGGTGTGCACCACCGCCCTGGCTTATATAATCAATTCTTTAGATTCTACATATGAGTCAGATCAGGTGGTTCTTTTGTTTTTGTGCTGGATTACTTCATGTGACCTAGTGACTTCCAGGTTCATGCATTTTACAATGGCTGAGTAGCGTTCTGTTGTCTGTGTGCACTACCTATTCGTCAGTTAATAGACGCTTGGGTTTTTCCATTTCTTGGCTATTGTGAATTTGTGAGTAGTGCTGCAGTGCTGGGGACTCAGATGATTTTTTTCCTTATCGTTTTGTTTCCTTCATTTCCTTTGGACTTATACCTGGTGGTGGGATTTGTGGACCATGTTTGGTTTTTTTGTTTTGTTTTGTTTTTTAACTGTTGGAGGAAACGTTGGACAGTTTTCCACAATGGCTGTACCAATTTACAGCCCCACTAACAGTGTGCTAAGGTTCCTTCTCCAAACCCTCACCAGTACTTGTTTTTCTTAGTCTTCTTGATAATAGCTATTCCTACTAAAGTGAGGTGGTTTTGTAGCTGGTCGTTGTGGCTTTGATTTGCATTTGCCTGGTGATAGTGATGTTGAATTTTTTTTTTTTTTAATGTATGTGTTGGCCATTTATGTGAGCTGTCTGTCAGTGTGACAAAATGCCCTGGATAAATGATTTATAAAGGTTAAGGTTTATTTTGTCTCAACTTTCAGAGGTTACAGTCCACAGTTGCTGTAGATCATGGCTAGAGAGTGGAGTGGAGGAGCCTGCTTACCTCATGGCAGCCGAGAAGCAAAGAAAGAGGAGGGCCAGTCCCCACACTTGTTCTTCAAGGGCACCCCCATAACCCACTTTTTCCCTTTGTGCCTTACTTCCTATAAAGCTTATAGAATCTCTTGGTGCTGTTGGCTGGGAACTGAGCTTTTAACAGATGGACCTTCTGGGTCCAGATTATAGTACCATTTCTTTGTCCCTTTTTTTTTTTTTTTTTTTTTTTTTTTTTTTTTTTTTATTTTTGTCTTTTTTTGAGACAGGGTCTCTCTGTAGCCCCACCTGTCCTAGAACTCACTATGTAGACCAGGCTGGCCTTGAACTCACAGAGATCACCTGCCTCTGCCTCTCGAGTGCTGGGATTAAAGGCATGCACCTCCTTTTTAAATAAATGTCTGTTTATTGTTATTGTTTCTTGAGCTAGTCCTGCTAAGTAGCCTGGATTGACTTTGAATTTTTTTTTTTGGTCTTTTTGAGACAAGGTCTCCCTGTAGCCACAGCTGACCTGGACCTCGCTATGTAGACCAGGCTGGCCTCGAACTCACAGAGATCTGCCTGCCTCTGCTTCCCAAGTGCTGGGATCAAAGGTGTGTGCCACCATGTCCGGTTGACTTTGAATTTTTACTCCTTCTGTCTCAGCCTCCTGAGAGCTGGGTCTGCAGGCTTTATCTACGCTCTACCTGGCTTTATTGCCTTTGTTTGTTTGTTTTTATTTTTGCTTTTGTTTTTGAGATAGGGTCTCCCTGTAGACTTGCTCTGTAGACCAAGCTGGCCTTGATCTCATAGAGATGAACCTGCATCTGCCTCCTGAGTGCTGGGATTAAAGGCGTATGCCAGTATGCCTGACTCTTGCCTATTTTGGAATTGAATTATTTGTTTTGTGATACTGAGGTTTTAGAGTTGTTAAGTAAATCGTTTGTAGACATTTTCTCCGACTCTGGAGGTTGTCTCTTCACTCTTGGTGCTTTCTTTGCTGTGCAGAACTTCTTAGGTATTGTCCCATTTCCCTGTTTCTCCTGTGTTTTTGGTGTTAACTTGAGGAATCCTTGCTCGTTCCTGTGTCTTGAAGCCTTCCTCTGTGTTTTCTTCTAGTGTTTTCATAGTTTCCACATTTTTAAAAAAAGGAACTGTAAAGCTGGGTGTGGTGGTGCACACCTTTAATCCCAGCACTCTGGAGGCAGAGGCAGAGGCAGAGACAGGCTGATCTCTGTGAGTTCAAGGTGAATCTGGTCTATACTATCGAGATCCAAGCCAGTTGGGGCTACAGGGAGACCCTGTCTCAAAAAGATCAAAAAAAAAAAAAAAAAAAAAAAAAAAAAAAAAGAACTGTACATTTGAATAGGAACAGGTTGCAGGTCTGTAATATACATCTCATTTCTTTCTGTCCACTACAGGGCTGTTGATAATCAGGTATATGTGGCCACGGCCTCTCCTGCCCGGGATGAAAACGCCTCCTATGTGGCATGGGGACACAGCACTGTTGTGAATCCTTGGTGAGTATGCCTTAGGGTGAACTCAGTGTGAGTTGAAAGATGCCAGAGGTGGATAGGTTGCTGACTGGTTGCTGACTATCCCCCTTTAACTCCATAATTCCTATTACCTGCATGTCCTTACAGGCATAAGGGAGGCTTCTACTTGAAGTTCATGTGAGGAATAAAATGTCATGCTTGCCTGATTGAATGCTTGGCCTTAACTCTTTTTTGCTTGTCTAACCTTGTCAGCCATACAAAGTAAACAAGGTAGCAATGATGGGGTGGGTAGGTAGTTTTAGTAAAAGATTCCTGTTTTGTTGGCTTTTGGTTAAAATTTAGTCTGAGTGACTGGTCCCAGGGCAGGAATGAAAAACAGGGAAAAGACTTTGCTCCCAGTATAATGATTAGAGAAGCACGGAGGGTGGGTTAAAGGAAACTGGCCCCTGTCTCCTGTGAAAGGGTAAAGCATTTTATCAATAAATGAAAGTAAACAGGCAAGTCTGTCCACGTACAGTCATCCTTTAATATAGTAAACCATATAGTTGACACCTGCAGGTGTACACTTTACAGTGCACTTTCATCCACAGGATCTCAGCTCAGATATCTGACCTTATTTAGCTTATAGATGGTACAATGTAATTCACAGAATGGAAGTGTTTGGATTTAGGACTTTGGACTTCAGAAGTTGTCTTTATTCCATGTTACTTCTGTGTATGAGTACACATACGCATACATATATATGAAGGAGTACACGCACACACACACACACACAAAGGCATTTCTACAGCTTGGTGTCTTAAATGTCCCTATGGAGTCCTAAAAGGTTCCTCTGTTGAGATTGTAAAACCCAGAGCTCAGCATGAGGCCTTGAAGATGGGACTACTGCAAGATTCTCAGTAGGTCTACATGCCAGGGTTTGTGAGCAGTGGAGAACTAGAAGGTTAAGTGGCTTGTGTCAAGTTCCTGTCTAGATATTAGTGGTAGGCTTCCTGGGTTGCGGGCAGCTGTGCTGTGCATCTAGTTCTCCTGGCTGTTACTTAGTGAGCTTCTTGCACTAAGTAACTCTGTCGTCTCCATTTTATTTCTTCTTAAGGGTTTGGGGCCTTCTGACTTAATGCTGACACTGGGTTGGGTGCCTTCAAATATGGCAGGACAGATGGGTATTAGAACAGAAAATGATTTAATTAAATGAAGTTAATGTGGTATTTGTAGCTCATCTGTGTCAGGAATTTGTGGCTATCTGATAAGTGATATCAGTTATTGTATCAGATAGTTTGGTTTAATAGATTGCTTTGGAAAGTGATTGTTTCTCTAGATGTGTTTTTGAGCCCCTGTTCTCAGTCAAAAGGCTGAATACTGGAAGGTTTTCCAAATTAGCTTCCCCTGGGTTGTGAAGGACCATTACTCCTGCCACCATGTGGCTCCCCTAACATTTCCATTCCTATTCTATGGGTTGAAATCATTCCCTCAAATCTGAAACTGATATCCATTAGCATAGGAACCCAGGGACCCTAGGCACAAGGGCAGAGGTCCTAGCAGATCTAGGTCCTGCATAGGCCCAGCCATGCTACCCACAGGTCTGGCAGCAGCCTGGCATGAGGAACAGATGGAGCTCCTCCTTGGAAAGGGCTTCACCAGGAAATAGCATGGTATTTCCTGTTGACTCCAGATTGCTCCATTCCTAGATGCTTATATCATGGAGTAGCTACCATTTCTTAATAGTGTGTGGTTTGTAAAACATACTCCATAATTTTCTCGTCAGGTCTCCCAGAGCTCTTATTTCACATGATCTGCCACATGGTCACATATAACCTAAATAACAGAAGTGGAATTTATGCTTCTATTTTCTTGTTTTAGGTCTTAGAATCTTTCTCTTTTGCCCTAAGAGACAGAGATAAAAAGAGATCTTCACATCATCACATGTGAAATGATTCCAGTTTATTCCTGTGCATCTCTTTCAGGGGGGAGGTCCTAGCCAAAGCTGGCACCAAGGAAATGATCCTATACTCAGACATAGGTAAGATCTGTCTTGCTGTGATTCAGATCTCTGGTGTCCCCATTGTTCTTAGGCCACATCCTGTAGCTGAAGCTCCCGTTGCTTGGAAGTGTTCCTTTATGCCCTGCTTTTCTATCTTGGAGGATATTCTGGTTCTAGTTCTGAGGCTGGGCCCTGGACTGTCCTTTTTTTGTTTGAATTGACCCACCCCAGGACCAGTGCCAGGTCACCTGTATTTGGGTTAAGGCAGAGGCTACTGAATCACTTGATGAGACTTTGGTTATTTTTAGTTTGGGGAAGAAATCCTTTGGTTGAGAAGGCGTTGCAAAGGATTAATTGTGCATGTTCCTATTTTTGCAGACCTGAAGAGGTTGGCTGAAGTACGCCAGCAAATCCCTGTTTTAAAACAGAAGCGATTAGACCTCTATGCTGTGGAGACAAAAGAGCCCTGAAGTTTGTTTCCAACATGTCACAAAATGGATGATATTCTCCAAGACAATCAACTGTATTAAATTCTTTTGGGGGACAGTACTGGGAATTGAACCCAGGGCCTTGTTAACTCTACCATTGATCTGTGTCACAAGCCCTCTATTGAATTAAAAAAGTTTCAGTCTTTCCTCCCTAGAGAGCTCTCCGTTGAGATGATAGAGTCTCCACAAGTTAACTTTCTTCACACCATATTAAAGTTAGAGAGGACACAGGCTAGTGTCTGAGCAGGAAGAGGAGCTGCCTCTGAAGCTTCATCCATAGTTGTGTTACCTCAGAGAAGTGCATACAGATGCACTAGGATCTAGATCCCAATGATTGATTCATTTAATATAAATGTGTTTGTGAAATGAATTTGTATCCCATTTGCTGGAGTTGAAATCCTTATCTGAGAACCTTGGTCTGGTATTGCTGCTTTCTGAGAAGTACTTTGAAGTTCTTGGTACTTGCACAGCTATAGGAATGAAAGTGAACGATCCTTTGTGTTTGTCAGAGGAATCCAAGGAGCTAATGCATTGGTACTAGACTTCTGGGCATGGAGTGATTGGGTCAACAGTGAGGCTCCATGGGAGAGTGGCAGATGTCGAGCTGAGTACCAGAAGAATCTTTCTGCTTTTCTTTTTGCTTTTTCTCCGCTAGTAACATTTTTCTAGCCTTATTGGGAAAAAGCCACTTAGTCTGGTAGTTCTTATATCTTTTGGTCTTAAGGCTTCTTTTGCACAATTAAAAATAAAGATTCTAACAGCATTTTTCTTTGTGTTAATAGCAAATGGTGGGCTGGTAACCGTGATAGTCAGCTGTCTGAGAAAATGTGATTTGTAAGAACACTGATTTCCATGGTGCCAATTGTTTTGCCAAATTCTCTTTTCCTCCTCCTTGGGAGACCCACATGCCCTCACCCTCTGAGGTGTCAGGGGTGACAAACTGACAGAATACCTTCTATTTGGGTTTTAGCATGGTTTAAATGACATCCTGGAAAGGGTGACATACAAAGACATGAACTCCCATAGTCCCATCCTTTTTTTTTTTTTTGGCTTTTTGAGACAGGGTCTCCCTGTAGCCCCAGCTGGCCTGAAACTATGTAGACCAGGCTGGCCTTGAACTCACAGAGATCCGCCTGCCTCTGCCTCCCGAGTGCTGGGATTAAAGGTGTGCACCACCACGTCCTGCTTCCATAGTCCATCTTTTACAGTTTGGTGAAGCTTTGAGATCCTTGCCACCACAGCTGCTCTTCCTTGCCCTGCCCAGAGTTGCCTTACCCCCGTGGGCCCGCTCCCAAAATGGTGCCAACTCCTCCCCTTCATGCAGCTAAGGTCAACTGATTGGGTGGGAGAGGTAATGGGCTTTGGCCTACTTGACTCCTTCCGCAGAGCCAGGGAAGGAGGCGAGACAATAGCAGGCTGGACAATAGCGTGTGTCGTAGTGGTTAGAAGGAGGAACTTAGGTCACACCAATATTGTGTTAATGTGCCACTTCTTTTTTTAAAAATATTTTATTATTTTTATTTTATGTGTATGCATGTATTGCCTGCATGTAGGTAAATGCACCCGTGTTGTGCAGTGCCCACAAGAACAGAAGAGGCTGTCAGATCCCCTAGTATGGATCCCCTGGTACTGGAGTTACTGGCAGTTGTTAGCTGCCATGTGGGTGCTGGGATTTGAACCCAGGTCTTCTGCAAGAACAGTGCTCTTAACTGCTGAGCCATCCCTCCAGCCCCCCAGTGTGCCACTTCTAAACAGATTTAGGGATATGCAGTGCATTTGGCAGTGACTTGTACAATACTGCTCTGGCATACCACTGATTACAAATAACAGCTATTTACCATAGTGGTAAATCAAAATGTTTAGAATGAGTGTATAATCTATTAAAGTGAAGGCAACGTATGCTGTTTAACCTCTGAAAAATAGCATGGTTACACAAGAGTAACAGACAAATGACCAAAAAAAAAAAAAATATAGTAATTTGGTGAAATTTGGCAAATGTATACCCATGCAATTATGAAGTGCCTGTCAAGAAAGTTAACATATGTACCACCCCTGAAAATTTCCTTGTGGTCTTAAAAAAATTTTTTTTTTTGATGTATATGAGTAGTGTATGCAAGAGGCCAGGTGGGCATTGGATCCCTTGGAACTTGAGTTATAGATGGTTGTAACTGTCCAACGTGGGTGCTGGGAACTGAACTCAGGTCCTTTGCCAGAGCAGCAGCAAGTACTAATAGCTGAGCCATGTCTCCAGCTTCTGCCTATAATCTTATTAACTGTTTATTCCTTACCTCTGGGCAGTCACGGATAAGCTTTATCACTGTAGGGTACTTTGAATTTTCTATGATTGTATAAAATTGAATCATGACCTGGTACTTTTAATTGGTAGTTTATATCTGGTGATTCATCCATGTGCATTAACTAATCTGTTTATTGCTTAAATGCTGGACATTTATTTCTGGCATTCAAATAAAGGATAGAAACATACAAGTTCTTCATTTCTGTAGGAGTGGAATGAGGGTTCATGTGTATGTTTTACTATCAAACTTTTCCAAAGTGGTTGTCCCAGCTGACATCCTCATCATCACTCAGTACAGTTAATGTTTTGTTTTTTTTGGTACAGACAGGCAGATCAAGATTGAGGCCAGCCTGGTACACATAAGTTCCAGGGCTATATAGTGAGATTCTGTTTCAACCCCCCCGATACCCATATAGTTTTTAAAAGGTGTTTAAATGGAGATAGCCCACGTGGGTGGATAATGCGCGTCTCAGACGGCAAAAATTACTAAGTGTAAACCTAAGTGTCAGGTGTGGGATACCTCCTTATAGGTTGGTCTGGGAGGCCCCAGAGCCCCCCCCCCCCCCCCCCCCGCGCAAGTCAAGCTGAGTCAGATTTCTGGCTGTAGGACCCAGCATGCTGTGATACCAACCTATCAGGCAAGAAGTGCCCGCTGGCATCATGACTTTTGGGGTGTGTGTGGTGGTTTGAATGAGAAGTATTCCTCTTGGGCTCACACATCTGAACACAGGTTGGTGGCAGTATTTGGGGAGGGAATGGAAATTTTAGGATGTGGAGCCTTACTGGAGGAAGTACATCACAGGCAGGCACTTTTACTTTGCTCTCTCCAATTTGTGCATGTGGATGGAGATGTGATTGATCTACTTTGGCTGCCTACTGCCAAGACTTCCCCACCAGGACGGGCTCACCCTCTGGAACTGTAAACCAAAATAAAATGCTTTGTCCGTAAGTTGCTTTTAGTCATGGTATTTTATCACAACAAAGAAATACAGGGGGTAACCAACTGCTTTCTGATTGGGTTTGAGGTACTCCACAGAAGGTAATTCATCCACAGAAGGTAATTCATGCTTAGTACCTGTGATGGCTAATCCTGGGTGTCAACTTGACTGGATCTGGGATTAACTGAAATGAAAGAGATCTTCTTGATTGGATCATCTGAAGCTGGAAGACACACCCTAAATGTGGGTGTTACCTTCTGATGGCAGCCTGTATAAAAGGCCAAGGCAGAGGAGAACGCCTGGCTTCTTGCTGCTTGAGTTCGTCTTGCTGCTGTAGACTGAAGACTTTTGGAATTCGTCAGACCTTCAGCGCCAGATCGGGACTACTGAGACATCCAGCCTCATGGACTGAGCGACTACGGATTCTCAGCCTCTCCAGTGTGGTGCAGCCATTGTTGGACTACTGGGACTCTATTCTGTGAGCTAAGATGATAAATCTCTATACATACATATTCATTCTACCGGTTCTGTTTCTTTGGAGAACCCTAATACAGTACTTTAAATCTGTTCAAAAGCCCATGACTAGGGAGGTCTGTGCTGGATAGCTTTAGTAGTCAACCTGACACACCTGAGAAAAGAGAACCTTAATGGGGAAATTTCCTCCATTGGACTGACTTCTGAGGCACTTTCTTTATTGTTGTGCTGTGGGAGGGCCCGGCCCAGTGTAGGTGGTGCCACCCCAGAGTAGGTGGTCCTGGATTGCATTAGGAAAGTAGGCTGAGCAAGGGTCAGAGGAGCAGTCAGTAAGCAGCAGCGTGGTCTCTACCACAGTTCCTGCCCTGGCTTTCCTCAATGATGGATTGTACTATAACCTGAAATAAATCCTTTCCTCCCAAGTTATTTTTGCTTAGAGTACTTTATCACAGCGAACAAGGTCAAGTCCTAGTGGGAGGGGCTACTAGTGCTCTTTTGCTACGTAGCCATGCCAAACTGCCATCCAAATATTTGTTTATATTCATAGAAAAATGCTGCTTGGCTTTCAGTGGGCAACAGTTAATGCAGTGACATGTAACTTGTAATGAAAGAGTAAATGACCTGAGAGACCTCTGTTACCAATTTCAAAGCCTAGGAGCATGGAGGAAGAGAGGGTGGAGAATATAAGAGCCAGGAGTGCTGGGAATGCTGTCTCCTGGATCTGACATGGTGTTGCACTCATGAACTCACAATAGCTGTGGTTACCTGTACAAGATTAAACCTGTCATATGGGGGCGGATCAGAAGGGGGGACGGATTAGATATGATGAAGATACATTGTATATATATGAAATTAATAAATACAATGCTCTTTAAAAAAAAGATTAAAAACTTTAAGAAGGGTGAGCTCATCAACATGCCACCACATACGGGGAGGAACTCAGGCTCTGCTCCTGAGGAGCTACTGGCAGCTGCTGACAAATTCCCATACTTCAGGAAATAACTTCATTCTCATATAAGCAACCCTTATTAAACTCAGTGGGCCATTATTTAAACAAACAAAAAAAGACATGAGGTGGACTTGGGAAGGAATTCTGAAAGAAGAAAATGTGGTATGATCAAAACTATATATATATATATATATATATGAGAAACTGTCAAAAATAAAAATTGCACCCCCCATTCTAGAGATCTCCTGTAACTAGGTGATTTTAATAGCATTTTATTACTTTTATTCTATGTGTATGACTGCATTGCCTGCATGTAAGTGTGCCCACAAAGGTCAGAAGAGGGCATCGAATTCCCCTTGGAGTTAAGGATGAATGTTCGCCACCATGTGGGTGTTGGGAATCGAGTCCTCTGCAAGAGCAGCCAGTGCTCTTCATTGCTGAGCCGTCTCTCCAGCCCCATATTTTATTCTTAGTACAGTTACCTGCTTATTTTGACCTTTTTAGAAAGTGGTACCTGGAAAACATAACAGTCATGAACTTTTACTGTATTTTGGGGGGAGACCAATTATTCATCGTTATCACACAGTACCACAAATTAATGTCATGCAAACATCAAATTAAGTCATTCTGCCAAATCAAATTGGCAGGGCACTGGGACCTGGATTAGATCCCTTCCAATCACTCCTAAATTATTGTCTTAAAAAGACCATACAACTCAATTTATAGTGATAGTATTGGGTAGTTTGTAATTTTATACTCTAAACTTTCCTGGCTTAAATGGTCCTCTTGTTAGAAGCAGCATTAAGGTGGCAATTAGTTGACTTCTACAGGAATAAAATACTATTTAAACTGAAATTTGAGTTTCCAGAAGGCAGAAAGCTGTTTAGGGATGTATATCACATATCAAGGACAGAAGATTATTTTAGGTGTGCTTTACAAAAGTCTCCATGTTGTGAACTATGACCAAACTTCTATGTGGAATCAGCATGAAAACCTTAGGTCCGTCCAGGCCCAGGTCTAATCAGCAGTTTTCCAGGCTGCTGTGCAAGTGTGAGTTAGACAGATGCAGGTGAAGGAAGGTGGCTCTGCAGCTGCTGCTCTCTGCAGAACTCTGTTCCATAGCTGGAAAGATGAATGCTTTCAGGAAACCCCACTGTCCAAACCAATTAACTTGGACGTACCTATATTCAAAGTTAGATTGACCCCACAAGAGACTTAACTGAATCTACCCAGTTAATAAACGAATAAACTACCTATCTTTCTGTTCAAAGAACAGATAGAAAAGAAAAGATTGAATGTAGTATTTATTCGTGAATTTACATGTGAGGTCATTTACAAAAGAAAAGATACAGACAGATGCAGCTTTCAGTGCAGTTTCAAATATGTTCACAATAGGCAAAAGGCTGTGAGAATTTGGAATGACAGTACTGAATGGCACATGCGTCAGCTTTTTCCTCCCCAAGAGGAAGGGAGAGAGTAGAAGAAAATGTTGGTATTAATGTAAATACAGCCATGCAAATAAAAACTTGGTTTTAAAGCAAGAGGTCACACTTAGAGATGTAGAACATTTCTGTATTTAAGGGTTATCATAGTAGGAGATTGAGAACAAAATGAAGAGATCTCCAACTTTCCATTATCCCAGTTACCTTAAATTATGCTAACTGCTCCTATTAAAAATCAGTCTGAGGCTTTCTCAATATTGTCCAAAGACTAACTTTGTAAGAGGAGTCATTTCTAGTAGTTTCTAAAAGGACAGCATTTATGACAAAATCTTTTTGGTTTTCAATGGGATAAAGCACCCTTTAAAAAGAGTGTAAAATGTTCCTTTACTCTCAACAATGTAAACTATAGTTAGACTTCGTGTCCGTAAAAGTGTTAACAGAAGACTCCCTCTTTTATTATTTCATTTAAATAAACCCCTTCCTGTCCTGGATCTTAGCTTAGAAACACTCATTAAGAACACAGTCCTTCCCCCACCAGAAGAATCCAGCATATAAATAAGCAAAAAATAGTCTGTGAAAGTGACAAATGGAAACACACCTTAATTGATTCACAAAAATGAGGTACAGATAAAAACCAAAAGAACACAACTATAGTCAGCTGTCAGTATCCCTAGTGAAGACGTGGACATGGGCCATTAGTCCTTCGAGGTCAGGGTTACCTCATTACAAAAAGTATTCAATGTACTATTGGGAATCTTTGAAAATACTGGCTTAAAATTCCTTAAGCGCATATAGCCATAGCTAAAGCACTAAACTTGTCATCTCAAAAAAATAGATGCTCTGGCTACAGGATTTATATCCTTTTTGAACCATTAGCCATACCTTATTACTAGAAAATTTAAACTAATTAAATATTCCTATATATCATCACACTTATTCCATCTTTACGTGGGGTTATACACATAAACCAATTATCTTTAAAAAGTATACTATTAAATAGTACTTACTATGGAAGAGACATGGGCAATTACAAACACACTTATCTTTCATCTTACCTCTTTTCTGGTTTCAGTCCCTCATTAACAATCTTCCTGCACAAATATCAATCAGAATTATTTTGCTTCTGCATAATTTACTAACATTCTACAGAATCAGAGGCACTGTGCATGCGGACAACAGCTTAAAGGGTCTCAATTTTAGTGTGCTCCACATTTAAGTTTTTCATCTTCCAAAAAATTAAAAAGGGTTAATTGAATATAAAAGAAGTCTATTTTACAGCACTTACTAATGCTAAAGACCAACATACTATAAAACACTCATATTATACAAACATCTATAAAAACAAAATCTTTCAGAACACAATCCCCACCCCCATATAAAAAAAATCAACAAATCAAAGTTTTTATTTGCATGGCCAATTATTGTTTGTCCTCTACAACTTTATTTTAATATCCCTTTAACAGGTTCGAAGCTTTTGTTGCACAGGGAATAAAAGCTACAAGACTCAAACTTCCTCCAGCAGCCACACCCACAACACCTAAACATGAAACAGATGTAATGAATGACAACATCACAAAGGGAAAACTAAGTTCCACCATTCAACACAGTTCATGACAGTGTCTTCAGGGTTCAGCTGAAGAGGGGGTAAACTTCTTTTTAAAAAAGTCAGTCTGCTTTCCCCTTTTTTTATAATGTTGGTGGTTTTAATCCGTACTTCTTTGCAACTTCTGTCTGGGCATGGGCAGCATCACAAAGTGAATACAGATGAGCCATCTCCATTTCTGATTTGGCCAGGTTAATAGCTTTGTTGAACATGTCAATGGCTTTCTCCATGTTTCCTCTAAAAGAACAAAATTTTAAAATTCTTATTTTAAAGACTAGATTAAGACAATTAACTGGGTTATTTAAAAATCATACTTCTAAAAGAATATTAAAAAAAAAAAATCATACTTCTACCTGGCTCCTAAAAGTTTGCATGCTTCTACTGAAACCAGAGGTCCCTGATGACAGACTCAGAGAGCACTAGTGGCCTTCAGAGGCTGGCCCTCATTTGGGCTGTGTAAACCCACCCTCTTACTATCTCATTTCTTACCATCAAATGCCCAAACCCATGCACATCTACTGCAGTCAGTGATCAATCTTGATCATGCCAAACATGCTCTGCATATAACATTCAGATTATTGCCTCTGCCTAATTCTTCTCAAATCCTTGCTTTCTAAAACCCAGCTCAAATACTACATCCTCACATAAAAATATTTTCCTTATCCCTTCCCAGGAGAATTATCCACTTTATTCCTAACATTTCCACAGTTTTACTATCATTCTATACATAGATAAATGTTTATACCATAATCTTACTAGCTCTGTGATGAACACCATTCAATCACCACAACAAGTACAAAGGCTGGTAATTATTTTTTAGTAAATATACAAACATACTTATGGCTAACCAAGTTTACAATATAAGTGTGGCTTCGCTTTATATAGTTAATAAGAAACAATTGTGTTAGGTAGCTAGTGATGTGTGTGTGTGTCTGTATATATATACACATACATTCATAACCTTACAATCAGTATTTAAGTTGCTACTAGATAATTGTCAGACTGTAAGGAGTGGCCACATTTAACTTCCTACAACACATGGCTACACAATGCTAAGGGTTCATATGGAAATACTATGTCAATAGCTAGCAAATGTGAAAAATACTAACATAATCAAGAATGTCAATCAAGCCAGGTGTGGTGGCACATACTTTCAATTCCAGCACCCGGAGGCACAGACAGGTAGATCTCTGAGATCAAGGCCACTGTGGTCTACATAGTGAGTTGCAGGTCAGTTGAAGCTACTGGGAGACCATGTCTCAAAAAACAAAAACAATGCCTTCTACCCTCAAGCAAAACAGCAAACCACAAAACAATAAATCATTCCTTCACACCCCCTTTTCTTGGGTCTTTTTAAGACAGGGTCTCCCTGGGAACCCCCCCACCCCACCCCCCATCCCCGGGCCTGGAACTTGCTATGAAGACCAGGCTGGCCTTGAACTCTCAGAGATCCATCTGCTTCTGCCTCCTAAGTGCTGGGATTAAAAGTGTGCATCATCATGCCCGGCCTACACACTTATTTAAAAAAATTTACAGTAGGATTCAAAATGGACTTAAAAAAAATTATTATGCCTTTAATCTCAGCACTTGGGAGGCAGAGACAGGTGGATCTTTGTGAGTTCAAGGCCAGCCTGGTCTACATAATGAGTTCCAGGATAGCTGGGGCTACAGGGAGACCCTGTCTCAAAAAGATAAAACTCATGTATGCAAACCCAGAGAGGCCAGAAGAGGGTGTTAAGATTCCCTGGAACTGGAGTTAGGACAGTTGTTAGCCTCCATATGGGTGCTGGGAACCAAACTTGGGTTCTCTGGAACAGCAGCCAGTGCTCTTAACAGTCATCTCTCCAGCCAAAAATGGACTTTTTTTTAAGACAAGGTTTCTAGCCCAGGCTGGCCTCAAACTCCCTATATAGGTGAAGAAAACCCTTAACTTCTGATCATCCTTCTGCCTTTTAGGTGTGCACCACCATGCCCAGTTGTGGTGCTGGGAACTGAACCCAGGGCCTCATATGCATACTAGGCTACATTCCCAGCCTTACAAGATGGCCTTTTTAAAGTATAATTAACACACTAAGAAAATTCCCTCAACGCTCTCCCCCTTAAATCAGGAGTTTTTAATCCACGGAATCTGTGAACACCTTAAATGTAAAGTATTTTTATATGCACTCATCAAAGAATTCATATTCATAACTTTGCTCGAACCAAGATTAGAAGCTACTACTGCCCTACTTTAGAACAGTAGTTTATTTCTAATAACGAATTAGTAACTAAGAAGTGATATTTACATGTAACTCATCAAGAACATCACTTTTTATTAGTCTACCTATATTCTGCCTACTTTGGAGGAAAGAGAGTCACAGGAAGAACAGAACAATACGGAATTAAGAGAATTCATGGTTCCTGATAAGTGATAGCGGCAAGATCAGCTACTTTTGACATCAGTGAAGTACAGGCTCAAATCCTGTCTTCACTAATGTCTTGTGGTGCAGCCTTGTTAGCTTAATCAGCCCAGGCATCAGTTTCTACACTCTTTAATTATACTGGGGATCATTATAAAGATGGGGGTTTATGTCAACTGAGGTAAAATTTGGAAGACACCGAAGTTTAATACTTGGTCTAAAATATGCACATAAGGAAATACCAATATTAAGATGGTATACTACACTTAAGTTCCATACATAAATACTTGCCAATATTTAATGAAGATCTTAAGTGCAACTGGATAAATAGTTACACGAAACAAAACAAAGTTATAGGAAATAATGAGTTGCAAACAGTCATCCTTTACAATTTTTTTTTTTTTTTTTTTTTAAAAAGGCTCTCCCTATAGCCCTAGCTTGCCTAGAACTCAGAGATCTGCCTGCCTCTGCTGGGACTAAAGGCATGCACCACCATGCCTGGTCCAACCTTGGTTTTAAGAAGACTCCTAAGTGCAGAAGATGTCACAGCTTGCCTACTTGGCTGGTTACGTTGCAGTAGGATCCAGGTCTTGTTGCAACATGGCTGGCTGTTTTCAGTTACTCTTTACTGAAGTAGTAAGTGCAATTCAGGTGTTTCTGTCCTTCCCACAAGAATAACACAGGTAAAAAAAGAAATAATACACAACAGATACTAAAGACCTTGTTTCCCTTTTAAGGCACGAGTTTGACTTAAACAGCTTTTGTAACTTTTATTTTGGAAAAAAGAAATGAGGCAAATCAAAGTTGCCCAATTTTCAGGGAAGCTTGCATCCAAAGGTATAATAAACTTTAAAAATTTAATGGGTTATTGGTTGGTACTCAATACATTTCCTAAGAAGAGACTTTAGAAGTTACCTTTGCACTTCAATAGTTCCCATGGTTTCGTATGCAAAATCACATTTATTGTCAATTTCAATAGCTTTGCTGATAAGCTCCAAACCTTTATCCAAATCTTGTTTCCACTGAAGTTGAAGTAAACTGGAAATGCAAAGACAGTCAGATGGACCCAGTACTGATAGAAACAAATGTATGATCTACTTTTTGCCACTGATAAACTTCTAACTTAATTCAAAAAGAAAAACAAAACCTAAAGCAATATACAATCATCATCACATTGAAGGTTTTTCCCCCTTCTCTGTTGATAGTGCAGAACCACAGATTCATAGAGTAATGATCCAGTCTTCTTTTCCCATGTATTTCTAAGAAACAAAGTCAACTGTTTTTGTATGTAAATATCAAGAGTGATTTATTTAGTACCAAACCAACATTAGCACCCTCCTCTCCCACCTCATTTTTTGCTCCTGTCTTGAACTAATTTTGACTGTGGAATCCAGTTCTGTTTCTGGCTGCCATCAACAGTGAAGCAGCCAGAACCCTTCCTCTCTGTTCCTGGCACTTGCTGATATCTAGTGTATGCTTGCACTCTTAGTCCATGTTTGATTGCATTTCACGGCAATAAAAGTATGTTGTACATACTGCCAAATATTTGTCTTACACGTTAAGGTTTCTCCCTTTACTGTAAAACTATAATTTTATCCTTATAAAACTATGGATGGTGGTGCATGCTTTTAATCCCACAGTCAAGAGGCAGAGGAAGCCAGGGAAACAGAGTGAGACCCCGTCTTAACAAACACACACACCCCTTAAAAAAAAAAAAACAAAAAAAAAAACCATGAAATCCCCTTTTGCATCATTTTCAATTTATTGAATGAATTAGAAATTCTGATTTGATATAATCACTGCAAAAAAATCAAATGCATGAAATAATTCTTTTATAACCTTTTCAAAAATTTTTCATTTATGTCTATGTACAAGCCTATGTGATGTGTGTGTGCAGGTGCTGGGATTAAATGTGTGTGCTACCATGCATAGCCCTGCTTTTTATTTATTTTTTTGAGACAGGATCTCCCTGTAGACCCAGCTGGCCTGGAACTCACAGAGATCCACCTGCCTCTTGCCTCCTCTGAGTGCTGGGATTAAAGGCATGCGCCATAACAACTGGCCCTGCTTTTCATGTTTTGAGACAGGTTCTTAATAGGCCAGGTTGTCTTCCAACCCAAGATCCTCCTGCCTCAGCCTCTTGATGACAGTTTAAGCTTTATATATAACTTTTCTTGTAATACATACAAAATTCACATTGCAAATAAACTGCATAAATCTCTGAGCCATTTCTCCAGCCCTGAACATTTCTAATTCTTAAAAGCTCTTCCACAAAGTATTAAAATTAAAAATTATTAGTTACACATAATTAGCCATAATAATGATAAACTAATCTGTAAATTTAAAAGTAAAATAACGGATATTTATCTATAATAAATCACACAAAACAATCTGCAATCAATCAACTACCTTTCAAATTCTATTTTGTAACTAAATTCTGTCCTTTGGTGCTGGGGTGGGGAGGTTGAGACAGGTTTTAGCTATGTATCCCAACCTGGCCTGGAACTGATTATGTACTACAGACAAGTCTTGAACTTCAAAGATGTAAGCCAGGCTGGTGTTGTTTTCATGATTTTCCTGCCTCTGCCTTTTCAGCATTTCCTACTGACACACACCACTATAACTGGCTATTTATCTAATTTAAAAAATATGTACTTTATTTATCTCCAGGTGTGGTGGCATATGCCTTTAATCCCAGCACTGGGAGGCAGAGGCAGGTGGATCTCTTTGAGTTCCAGGCCAGCCTGGTCTACACAGTGAGTTTCAGGCCATTTGGGGCTACAGGGAGACCCTGTCTCAAAAAGAGCAAAATAAATTTTTAAAAATTTATTTATTATTTTTATTATATGTGTATGAGCACACTGTCTACATGTATGTGATTGTACCCATGTCATACAATGCCTGCAGAGGTTAGAAGAGGGTGTTGGATCCTCTGGAACTGGAGTTATGGATGGCTGTTAGCTGCCATGTGAGTGCTAGGAATCAAACCCGAGTTCTCTGCAAGAGCAGCCAGTGCTCTTAACTGCTGAACTATCTCTCCAGTCCTACTTATCTAATTTTTAAACAACTATCAATTTTGTACTCTAAATTCTCTACTGTGAAAGAACTTATGAGCTGGGGTATAGCTCAGAGGTAGTTAAGTATGTGCAAGACCCTGGCTTTGATGCCCAATACCCTCCTTCCTGAAACAGCCAATGCTCTAGACTCTATTTTTAACTAACTCATCTTGAATTCACATACATGCAGGCAATACTCTCACATATAGAATAAAAATAAAATACTTAAAAAAATAAAACAGGGGCTGGGAAGACTCAGTGAAAACCAGATCCCCAGAAATAACAGAAAGCCATGGTAACACACGTCTGTAATCCTAGTGCTCCTACTGTGAGAAGGGAGGTGGAGGCAGAGAATCCCTAGAGGCTCACAAGACAGCTACTATTAGCAGTGAATAAATAGAGACCCTGTCTCAAACAAGGTGGGAGGTCTGCAGAACACTTAAAAGTTGTCTTCTGACTTCTACACACACACACTGCAGCATGCAAACATCCACACTATGCACATGCATGTACATACCACACATACACATAGATTAATAATAAAACCCCCAGCATCCATATGCTGTAAGAAATGGAGCAATTAACTCATTGATATTTCTCTACTATACTCTGAATCATTCCTCTTAGACTAAAAGAAATATTTAATTACTTTGAAAGAAATGTACCTATTATTGGAACAAATAGAACCAGAAAAATACATACCCTTTATGAACATAAGTTGTGGCATTATCTGGTTCCAAATCAATACATTTATCATACATTTCATCAGCTTTACCAAATTGTTGTTGATCTGTTAATGCCTACATGAAGAGAAACTTTAGTTAAATATATTAAGGTAATAATTAACCCAAAAAGTTGAAAGTATATTGCTTATTATTAAAATTCATTTATTCATTATCAAATTATTGCTTTAAATTATTTGAGGTGATTTAATATTTATATCTTAATTACTGGAGTTTTTAGGTGGTATTGATTACAAATAGGGTATTATAACTGTTCTCTCCTTAACTAAGGTTTGATTCCATGGATACTAGATCACACCTAGATTGTGCTTTGAGAGGTGCTAGCATCTAAGACCAAGCTTTAAGAGTTAAAGCAAAAGACTTTGTAACTTTTATAAAGAAGCTATGGAAAACAGGTTTTACATGTGTATATATACATGTATGTGTAAAATTATACAGATTTATATAGTAAAGCAAAATTAAAATTTCCAGTGAAAATACAGTACTGATGAGAATATACTAAGTGCTGATGAGAATATACTAAGAATCAAACTCATTTCAAAGGGCAAACGGTGAAAAGAGGTGTGCAATCTCAAAATAGTCTGCAGAAAAGACTTTCTGGTTATTAGTTTCTTTAAAAGTTAGTGGCCTTTGCTTTCTTAGCGCCTTACAGAAGTCTGCACCAAAAAAATCGTGAATTCTATGACAATGGTAAAGATGGTTTTGCCGTTTACAATCTGTTACTAAAATATTCCAGGAATTCCTGGGATGTTTTGCATCTTAGACAATTGTCATACAGTGATGGACAGGACCTACATTGTAAGAAACAGTTTATTTTAAAATGAAATGGAGATCTTTTTTAAAGTAAACACTCATTCAATTTTATGTCTTACAGGGCTTATACTGAGTTCAACATTGTATAACTGTATTAATTCAACAGTAAACCTAAAAATTTTATAGCCACTTTTGAAAGAGCTGTATCTTTCCTCTGGAAACTTATTGAGCATATTAAACCTGTAATGCTATGCTTCTTCTAAAAAAAATAAAAAATATTTAAAAAAATGTACGAAACAGCATATTTTAAAATGAAATGGAGATCTTCTTTAAAGGGTAAAAACTCAATTTTATATCTTACAGGGGTTTATATTGAGTTCAGTATTGTATAACTGTATTAATACAACTGTGAACCTAAGAATTTCATAAACACTTTTGAAAGAGATGTATCTTTGCTCT